TCACAGGTGGAAATCAACCAAGATTTGCCTGACTCCAAAGTCCCTGCTCTTAACCACTCCCCGCTATCTGCTCCTTATAGAGATGTCCCATACGGCTCATCTGGAAGCTTCTTAAGTAGATCACCTGTCTAAATGAAGACCATCTCTCTCTTCAGTAATAGATTATTTCCCTTGGTGTAACATGTAACAGGAAATCTTGACTGCAGCCAGGTCTTCTCCCTCTCTCAAGGTACTACTACTTATAGAAGCAACATTCAACTAAGGAGTGAAACTCACACCTTCCTCCATATCTGTATTCATTTATTTGCTCACTCACCCACCAGCAGTTGGTAGCGTCCTACCAATACTTCCTGCTCTCCTGGCATGGTAGCAGGCACTGTGTCCATTATTCGAAGAGGTCTAAGTTGCTTTTGGAATCCTCCCCTGCTCCCTTCTTCATCTTACCACCTTCCATGGAAAAAGCGTTACCCCCTTGGCATTCTGAGAGTTTATAAAGCACCAAATGTTCCTTTACATATCTCTCTTATTTCTGAAATTACTGGAAATGCTGCAGATCGTTTTATGGAACATGGAACATGGTGGTTTGAGGAATAAGTGCTGCTGGATAGTTCTGGCCACCCAGCTAGCTATTCATCCCTGCTTTGAAACTTAGAAGATTTGGTCCCAGAGTGAGCATCCCAATGGAAGGCAGTTTGTGCAGCTATCAAAATATGGCCGCTATTAAAGGTAACAAGATAAGCCTTACCCATCATGAATGAACATCCCAGACCTAAATTGAAGGTAAGAGGACAACTTAACTTTTTCTATAAGATTAGAGATCATTGCTTTTTTTCCCTTAGATTTTCAAATTATCTATTGCAGCATGTACCCCATCAGACAATCCTTAACATTTATGGCTGACTTTCAGCTAGTCATGAGTTCCTAGATGTTAGGAATTATGCTGGATTAACCTTTAGCCCTCATGCTTGGCACAATGCCTGGAGCTTAGAAGGTTCTTAATAGATATTGTTCAGCGCTACTGCTTTAGGTATAACTGTCAACAGAGATAATTATAAGGCTCTACAGAAGAAAGCAATTTAATTTGTTTGAGATTCTTCTCTGCTGTAGTCTTACTTACCCAAGACGAAGGGCTAAAGAATATATTTGCAGGGCATGGGGTGGATCGTTTTCTACATAAAGATGGATTCTAATATTATAATATTGCTCTTTTATTATGTATCTAATATATCATAAAAAAAAATCCTACTAAGGAAGGAATAGAAAGAATAATCTCTGGTCCTTTGAATTAATGTTAATGGAGAATCTCAATTTAGCTGTAAGGGAGTTTCAGTCTTGCCTGGGCATGTCTGCAAAATTGGTGGGAGCAGCTGCCAGGAGCTTGTTTGCATATGGATTGAGGGTCCTCTTGGGACAGTTCTCATTCTGAAGGAAGAAGTTGCCTGGCAACAAGAGTTTGACCCATGGAGACGGAGACAGCTTTCCCCAACAGAGGAGCAAGGAAGCCTGAGTGGAGTGTGGTGTTTGTCATCTAGCTCTGGCTCCCAGCTGGATGATGTGAACATATATATACCTACGTGCTATGGAGAGTAGGGAGTTTGAATGTACAAAAGGGGGAAAAATAAACCTACTTTACTAACATCTTTTTAAAACACTGGAGTATAGCACAGTGCTTCAGGATCTATTTGACAGATTGAAACCTAAGTATAAGGGAGACATCCCTCCTTTTTTGCTGCTGTTGTTTTTTTTTTACTAAAAAATAGTGTTGGTATGGTAATGTCACTAAAGCATTTGTGACAATTCCTGCCTGAGCAGCGACAGTACCAGAAGGCAGACTTTGAAGCCCAGTGGAGCATTAAGAGCAGACACCACGTAGGGCATGGTAGTATCCAGATGATACTCACTAGGCTATGGATATGCCTAGAGTGTAGTAGCCAACAGAGTAAGAAATAGTGCTCAGTAGGGACTGGTGGGAAATTGTTGCACTCAGTGGACCAGTGACTCAACAGAAAAGAGTGGTCTGGGGGTAGATGCTCAGGCCAAAGACAGTGAATTGTTATAAAGTTGAATTCAGCCCTTTCTTGCTCACTACCTCTCGTCCTTTCTTGTCCTTCCACCTTCAAACATGGGATGACATGGCACCGAGGCCCTCACCAGATGCCAGTGCCATGCTCTTGGACTTTCCAGCCTCTAGAACTGTGTACCAAAGATAATTCTATTGTTTATAAGTTACCCAATCTGTGGTAGTCTGTTATAGCAACACAAAATGGACTAAGATAGTTGGGGAAGGTACAAATTCATTATGAATAAACTTCTTCTACCAGTAGAGAACAGGACAGCAGGCAATAGCAGTCCCTGGTTTAGAACGTACATCAAATGCTGTTGGTTTTTGCCTAAAGCTCTTGTGATTTCTTTTCCAGCTCTCTGCTCCCATACGCCAGTCTCTGCTGCTAATGGATAATAGCTAATGGCATCCATTTGCAACTTGCAGAGGACTCCTCTGTGGGAGTTTGCTTTCAGATTCCTTCTCCACCTTGTTCCAGGCCATAGTGAATAACTGAATGACATAAAAGGACGATAATCCAGCTCCTTTTTCAGAAGTGGAGCAACAACCTCTGAGGGTGACTTTATTCTAGGGCAGGTTGAGTCTAAGGGCTTCAAGATTATACCTCGCTTGGTTTCTTCCTTACTTATTTTGCTTCTCTTGCTCTCTTTTTTATTTCTTCTGGTAGTTCTTCCTTAAGAAATTACTATACCTAAATATTTGGCTCAATGTCTCCTTCTGGGACAACACAACTATAAAAGAATGATAAATAACTTGGAGATACTGGAAAAAGGCAGCAGAACATATTACCTGTTTGTTGTTGCTACTCTTGTGTTGGTATCTCATGGCCAGTATATGTGTGAGTGAGTCCACAGCCATCTAGAAGGATAGATTTTCAAGGTTTCCAAGAGAATTCTGTCTAAGAGAATTGCTGAAGAACTCACAATTAACCTGGCTCTGCCATGTAAACATGGGTACTCACTATCATAACTGTCCACTGTTTAAATTTTTGAAAGCAGAGATTATGCATCATGTGATTTGAGAGGAAATTGCCTTTATTTGAGACTGAATAAAAATGACACAATTTATTATCTTCTAGGATTACAGAGAAAGAAAGTTTAGGAATACATAGAAAATATAATGCCTAAGATTGAGAAGACTTCAGTCCTTTAACATTTGGGGGAAAGTATGTGATCTCTCATTTCTTTACTTTTTGTATCAAAAAAAAAAGTAAACAGAAATCATTAAAATAAGATAATGCATAGAAAAGTCCTTTGTAAACATCGCAATAGTAATAAAACTTGAAGGAATAGCAATTTGCTGATTATTTCTCCCTTCTTGTTAGGAATTAAATCATATTAAGATTCAGAAGCACACTAATGTATTGCTTTTTTTCCTCTGATGACTTCAGGGATAATGATGAGAAATACATGATTGCTATTGTTGTGAGACAGAGGGAGGGATAAGTCAGAGCAATAGTTTTGCCACTAAAATTCTTTGTGAAATATAAGTTCACTAGCTAGCAATATTCTTACTCAGGGTAAAGTAAGGGAAATTTAGGGAGAATTGTTAGACTTATTTATATCAGTAATGCTAAGTTATTTTTATTGTTTTCTAAAAAGCAAATACTTCTCAATTATGTTTAAAAATAAAAAGCAAAATAAGCTTTCTTATTATTCAATCTAGTGAATTGTTATCACCTTCCTGCATATACTAACTGATTTATCTTCTACTACAAACCAATGCAGAGACAATTCCTGCTGGAAAAAATTGCTAGTTCATCATCTTATGTGGCTAAATGCAGCCATGGAATTTAAGGATGCTTAGCTTAATTTTGAGAACCTACCTATGTGAGGCAATACATGAAAAAAGGACTCAACTCTATTAAAATATACTCTTATAAAAACTTCCCTATATGTATAGTAATTGGAGAATGATACTATTAAGAAATATTATAAGTACCTTACACTACACATTTACAGAGAATTGTAATGAGATGGGAAAGTGATCCAAATGTATTAAAATCATAATGTAAAATATTTTACTATCTAATATTTTAATATTGAAAAATGCATATGCTGCATACTCCCATCTTCTAAAACATAATATATGCATAGCAAAATATGGTAATGTACTTCAGAAGAAGCATAATAGGTATTCCTGGTTGGTAGAATTATAGGTGATATTTATTTTCCTCTTTGTACTTTTGTGTATTTTTCAAACTTTCCGCAATGAATAGGCACCCATTCATAACTATAGAGATAAATATTTTTATGGAAAAAAACCAGTCCTGTCAGAACATGTCTAGTTAGTTTTGAGGCTTGAGTGAAATTTGGGAAAGACTCTATTTCTCTTACCATTTTGTAATTCTGTGTCCTCTGCTGGTGTCTAAGCTCCATGAAAGCAGAGACTTTGTTCTCTTTTTATTCATCCTTGTGTTGCTGATGAACAGCATGTGGCAGACAATCAACAGACATATATTAAATGAATGAATAAATAAAGTAATGATGAGAAGCAAGGGTGTGCCACCAAGTTAAAAAAACAACATGAGCAAATAAATGAAATTGGCAAAGATGATTGTGGAAATGAAGAATGACAGGTAATTCAGCATAGCGGAGGGTTAGGGAATCAGAGGCAGGGGTGGGAAATGCTGTCTGAGTCTCCATATTGCAGTATCTCATTATCCTTGTGACATCCTGTGAAGAGCTTATTTTTTTCCATTTTCTAGGTGAGAACGCTGAGGATCCCTAAACTTAAGTGAGTCACTCAAAGTTGCAATATTATAAATAGAGTTGAGATTTCAACCCAACTCTCTTATGCCTGCAAGAAACCTTGTTCCCCTGCCCTCTAGAGGCAGAAGTCTTGAAGACATGTCCAAGTGGATGGACAGACTCTAGAAGGTAACAGAATGCCACTGAGTTTTGACAAGAGGATTGGTGGGATTTATAGGGCATGGAGCTGGACAAAGGGGCAAATCACTCTTCTCACCTCTTTCAGTATCTATTAATGTTACCACGATAATACCTGAAACTACCACATTTTTCACACCTTTGGGTTAAGGTACAAAACAACTTTACCTGGGAGGAGTACCCCAAGGCATGAATATTTTTTCAGTATGAATTAACAGAGAGTAAACCCCTGAAGGAATTGGACACATTCCTGTATTTTAAATTTAATGATCCTTTACGGAGAACCTACTGTGTGCTAGTCATTATCTAGACACTTGATATACATCATGAACAAGACAGATACCATCACTGCTGTTTTAGAATTATAGCCTAGGAAACAGAAGTGATCACTTTTGTTGCAGGTAGGAGACTATAGACAAAAAGTTGGGAAAGTAATTTCCTGAAGCAAGTAGAGTCCAGGTAGAGAAGAGAAACCACGATGGAAGCCAAGCCATGATGGAGGCATCACTCTGTAGCATAAAAGAGAGGGAGGAGACAGGGAGTTTGAAGGTCCCAGTTTCCACAGTAGAGATGGCCTCCCACTCCTAAAATCACACGACAGCATCACATTTCATCTCTGGATAACCTAAGTCTGGGGAAAGAATTAACAGAGTGAAACTTCAGCATGAATCTTGCTTGCATGAGAAAAATGAGCTTTGAATCATTAACAAGGCAATTGCTGCTACATACTAATGATGCCATTTCCTGGTCCTGGTCTTTTTTGCATTAATGCACCCCATGGTGCGGACTGAATGATATAAAAATGATTACAAGCTTTGGAGATATTTCTGGGTTTGATTGTTTTAGGCCATGCACCACTTGTTTAGATTATGAATTAACTAATAAATCTATGTTATTCTCTAAGTTTGAAGATTGAAAAAGCCTTACTCCTTTCTCTGATACCAAGTTAATATAACTATCTCTGATGACAGCAAATGAAGTCTAAACAATGGTCATTAGTGTGATATACTCCACACACACCAGGTCTCCAAAACTACCAGTCATCTTTCCTAATGATTGAGAGATTATGTCTCCAGTATTATGAATAATTTATTCTAGACTCAATATCATTTTTCTCAGCTTACAACTCCCTCTGTCTTGTGCACCTCAGACTCAATACGTATTTATTTAAATGTACCAATTGTTCATATATTTTGACCTATTTTGAGGAATCTAGCTGAACAAACTAATTCTAACCATGACCATAAAACAAAACTATGCTAAAGGACATTCACCATATCTCAAGATACAGAAAAAATTAAAATGTCTTTTCTACTCTCTCACACCCCACTTGAAATGTGTATGCAATGAGAGGTAGGAAAAAACAAACTCTTTTTTCCTCCTCTCTTACACAGATACTCATACAGCAACACAGAATGCTTCTATGGCCAGACAGGTGGGTTTTTTTTTTCTCCACATACCAACTAACTGGGTGTCCTATAATTCAATTTAATTTTAACACTATCTTCCTGGAGATAGAGTCGGATCCTACAGGTTAACGGCTCAGTTCCACAAGACTGTGTCCCACTTCAGATGGCAATTGCAAATAGTAGATTGTCACCTACACGTCTCAACCAGCTATAAGGCAGGGCTTTGACTCCTCATTCATTGGGTTGAATTCATTCGCTAGAGTAGCTCATAAAATGCAGGGAGACACTTGACTTATATTTACCCATTTATTATAAAGGATATTACAAAGAATACAGACGGCCACTAGATGAAGAGATGGATGGGGCAAGGTATGGGAGAAGGATTGTGGAGCTCCTATGCCTTCTTCGGGACATGACCTTCCAGACATCTCCACATGTTCGGCTATCCAGAAGGTCACAGAACCCAGTCCTTTTGGGCTTTTATGGAAGCTTCCATCATGTAGGTAAGATTGATTGCATCATTGGCCATTGGTGAGCAGCTCAATTAACACCTCTCTCCTTGGAGTTGGGAAGATGGACTAAAAGTCAGAACCCTCTAATCAAGTCTTGGTCTTGGTCTTTCTAGTGACCAGCCCCAACCCTGAAGCTACCTCGGGGCTCTAAGCCACCCGTCATGTCATCTCATTAGCATACCAAAGACACTCTCATCACTCAGGAGAGTCTAAAGAGCTGTGTGTCAGGAACTCCTCAGGATAAAGAGCAAATACATATTTCACAATGTCACACCGAGTTATTATGTATGGTTGTAAAAAAAATACAAATAATCCAAACATCTAGCTATGCTAATATAAAACATCATTAAAATAAGGATAGGGCCTATCAAATGATGAAATATACAATCTTGTAGTTTTTCGCAATAATAGGAAAAGATGCTGGTACCAAAACATTATGGGAAAAACTGGAGGCAAATTGTATGAGCATTATTAGTATAATTCTGTAAAATATCTGTAGAAAAAATCCAGGAAAATACTGTAAAATGAAAATTATGGTTTTCTTTGGGTAATGATAGTATGAGTGGTATTTTTCTTCCTCCTTTTTTTGAAATATAAATTCTAAATTGGAAATTTTGAAAAGCAGTGTTTATTCTTATCCAATACATAATCGTATGATTGTTTGGGGAAAAATGATGCAAATCCCTCTGAAAGTCTGTAGTTGCTATGAAGCCCAACCACCCAGTAGGATTTCTGGGGGATAACAAATCGGTGCTAATTCATTTCCCTAACTAAGAAATACCCCAAGCACGGGTCACTCTATAGGACACTGGAAATTCCCTATACTGCCCTGATAGGTTGACATTCCCACTTTATCCCCCCTACCCTTCCCAGTCTCTGGTAACTGTCATTCTACTCCGTCACCATGAGATCAATTGTTTTTAATATTTCGCTCCCACATATGAGTGAAAACATGCAAGATTTGTCTTTCTGTGCTTGGCTTATTTCATTTAACATGATCTTCTCTAGTTCCACCCATGTTGTTGCAAATGGCAGGATTTCATTCTTTTTAGTGGCTTTATAATATTTCATCGTGTATATGTACCACAATCACTTTATCCATTCATCTGTTAGTGGACACTTGGGTTGATTCCATATCTTGGCTATTGTGATTAGTGCTGCAATAAACATGGGAATGCAGATATATTTTTCATATATTGATTTCTACTCCTTTGGATATATACCCAGCTGTGGGATTGCTGGCTCATATAGTAGTTCTGTTTTTAGTTTTTTGAGGAACCTCCATACTGTTTTCCATAGGGATCGCACTAATTTACACCCCCAACAATACTTTGCGAAGGTTCTCCTTTCTCCCCATCTTCGCAAGCATTCGTTATTGCCTGTGATTTTGTTGCCATCTGATTTCAGGAGGGAGAGTGAGTCAATGAGCTGCATGAAAGCAGTTCAAGGACATTACCATCAGGAATTGGGGAGAGGCTGACTGCACAGGAGCTGAAAAAAAAGAAAGAGAAAAGGCTATGGGGAGAGAAGATAGCAGGGATGGGGAGGACGCGTGTGTCAGCACATTTAGGAAGTTTCAAAGAATCAGAGAGTGTTTTCCTCCCACAAGACTGCTCTGCCCTTAGAAACATCCCTGCCGGCTTGAAGGAATACTTGGGATACATTCCAGGTCACAGTTGTTATTGTCGCTTGCCATGTAAACAGCTGAGCATGATTGTCATTTTATGCTCTTGCTGTACAGAAAAAACATTCCCAGCAAAATTCACCTGAAAGGCTTAAAAATGGGAGGAGTTCCAAATCCTTTCCAGCACACATCTCTACCAAGGCCTTCCCTGAACCCCCTGAGACTCAGTATTACCCAATCTTTCTTTGAATAAAGAGTGTTTTTCTGTGATAAAGGTAATTAATTAATTAGAAAAAATAACAAAGTAGAAAAAAGTTATGTGCAAACCTGCTACAGGAAGATAGTCACTGATTAACATTTTTATCCACATTCTTTTCATTTATGCAGGTACTCCAAGTTGTGATTATAATACACACAGTTTTCACATCCTTCTTTCTTCATTTATTGGTATGTATTTTCTGTTGTTATATATGCTTGGTAAACAATGTTTTTAATAGTTGCCTGATTAAAATCTTTTTGTTCTCAGTTTTCTTGCTATCATAAATGATATTGCAATGACCATGCTTGTGAATAGTTTTTTCTCCAGGTTGCAGAATGTTTACTTAGGATAGATGCCTATAAATACAAGTAGTGGCTTAGAATGGATAAACATTAACTTTTAAGGATTTTGGTTTGTATTTTTGATTTGTTTCCTAAATAGTTGCATGCCCACTAAAACACGAGGACCCTTTTCACTCTATCCTCATTAGCACTATACAAAGTGTCCCAAAAGTCACCATCCATAGGGAAAGTGGGAAATTATAGCCAAATGTACCTTTATTTACATTATATTTTTTACATTATATATTTACATTATTTTCATTATAACATTTTGCAAAATTTTTCCTTTGTATGGAGACTTTTGGGATACCCAGTATATTATCATTTTAAGAAGTTAATGGCTAATTCCTTAAATTAATTTAAAGACATTAAAGATAAAACAACAAAAATACAATGAAAATGAAAATAAAAAAATAGTACAACCTAATATTTCTTGAGTACTTGCTGTGGACTAACTGCTTTATGTGAACTAACTCTTATATCTCTAACCTTTTTGAGGTAAGTGTTATGTCATGTCTAGTTAACAAACTAGCAAATAGAGGAACAGAAAACTTATGTGACTAGCCCAAGTTTAAATGGCTGGTGTGCATACTTCTAAGTTTTTAACCAACCTATCAATCTTTATTCATCCTATTTATACATTAAGAATATTTTTACTTTCCCTGGCGACATAAGCACATTCCAATTGTTTTTTCTTTGTCTGTGTGTGCCTTTACCACTTTTTCTGCTATGGTAGACTCCTACTCCTCCTTTGGGACCGATTCATTGCTGCTCTGGATGGTCTTCCCTGAAGTCATCACCTTCCTTGAGTAATTCTCTCACTTTAGTGGTTCTATACCCCTGTCATATTGGTAGCATTACTTTTGGGTATGTTTATCTTTCCTACTAAAGCATGGCCTTTGCCAGAACACAGAACATGTGCAATCCTTTGTAAGATGTTGTTCCCAACTTCCTTCCCTGGATGGACGTGGACAGGAATGTTCATGTTGGCTGTGGTTGGCCCCGGCCACTTCTATCTCTCCCAGACCTACCTTGCATCCATGGACCATTGCCATCAACGTTCCTATTACTTAAAATACTTGTCTCCTTCAGTCTCTCCATCAGATTATAAAGGCTAACAGAGGAATTATTTTTTAAAAAAGCTCTCCAGGTGGTTTGAATGTAATAGGAGCGAGGGCTACTCTTTGGGAGCTATTGGTCTGGTAGTTTGGCCCAAAAAACTGGTGCCTCTGAATCACTGTCGGTTACACCATCATGGTTTATAAAGAAAGCACGCTGACCGGTTTGATCAACGGCCAATCATTCTGTCTCTTTGCAAGCACATATCAGGAAAAGGGAAAAGAAAATTAACAAACGAGTAAAATATTAGAAATGGATGGAGCGTGCTGATACTACCAATGATACTAAAACTAATTTAATTGACCACGTTAAGTGCCAGACCCAGTGCCCATTGATGTATGTACGTTATCTCTTTAAGTCTAAAGCTGTGCGTAAGAAGTAGAAGATTATTATCTCCATTTTACAAATGGAGAGTCTGAGATTCAGAGACATTAACTAATTTGACCAACACGACACAGCTGGTAGTTATGGAATCAGGATTTCACACGGGCAGCCTGATTCCAAGTCTGCACCATTAGCCCTGATATGTGTGTGTGTGTGTGTGTTTGTGTGTGTGTGTGTGTTGGGGGAATTTAGACGATAGACTTAGCCTAACCATAAATCTTTAATGTTTAAATATCAAAAATAAATAAGAAAGCAAAGGGTTGGTGTAAGTTAATTAATTTTGTTTATATATCTATATGCAAAGAAAAAAACACATCTTTTTTTTTTCTTTGAGACAGAGTCTCACTTTGTTGCCTGGGCTAGAGTGAGTGCCATGGCGTCAGCCTAGCTCACAGCAACCTCAAACTCCTGGGCTCAAGGGATCCTCCTGCCTCAGCCTCCTGAGTAGCTCGGACTACAGGCATGTGCCACCATGCCCGGCTAATTTTTCTCTCTATATATATTTTTAGTTGGGCAATTTATTTATTTATTTATTTATTTTATTTCGGCATATTATGGGGGTACAGATTTTAAGGTTTCAATAAATGCCCATTCCCTCCCTCCCTCTAATTTCTTTCTATTTATGTTAGAGATGGGATCTCACTCTTGCTCAGGCTGGTTTCAAACTCCTGACCTTGAGCGATCCACCCACTTCAGCCTCCCAGAGTGCTAGGATTACAGGTGTGAGCCACCGTGCCCGGTCAAAACCACATCTTTTCAAGCATCCGTGAATCATTTACAGAATGGGTTCATTACTGAGCCAGAAATAATATATTAAAAAACAGAAATTATGCAAACCATATTTACTGATGCTAATAAACTTTAAAAATTAACAAATTTTAATATTGTGAATCAGTCAGCGATTCTCCCAAATTCAAGTAAATCTTAAGAGGAGGAATCATAAGTAGGATTATAGATAATGGAAGCTGTGTGTTTGAAAACATACTTTGACATGCAGCCAGATGAATACTTCGTAGATTAAAATAGGCAAATCTATCTTAAGCATTGTCTTATAGAATAAGAAAGAATTAAATAATCACAACACTGAGCTATTTCTTGTAAGAAGATAAAAGTTAAGAAAAAAACACAAAGTTGCCATTTTGAATATATTGTGCTGGTCAACATGTGATCTTCATCGGCGCCCTCCTGATGGAATGGAATGGAAATCCAGTGTGGGACAGTAGCTAAGTCCTAGTTAGGACACTCTAAGATTATATGCTTTGTTTCTTCCTTGTCTATCTTACAAGCCATTTCCTTATAGAAGTCACTTAAGTGAGTCTGACACTTACAAAACCAGTATTCTCTGCCATGTTGTATTCTGTTCTTTTGAAGGGATTGCAAATTGGTAGATAAATTATGCTGATAAATTCCAGGTTTCAAATATAGAAGAACTCATCTATAATTATTAAGATCCCTTAGAAATTTCATCTCTAAAACTGCCCAAAATGGGTATTTATATATATTTATGTTAATTTGTGTGTATTTACTTGAATGTGTATGTATATACACACACATACATACACACATGCATGCATACACAAAAGATGCTATATCATCTGTAATTCATGCATTCTTGGGCTGATATTCTTTTCTCTTCCATGAAATGCTATTAAATTATAGTGTCTTTAATTACATCTGCAGTTATCTTAAGGACAATACCATAAAGAGAGTCAGGCATTAATAATTTCATTAATTTTAGTCAATGTGCCAAAAAACATTAAGTTAATACTCATATACTTGAATAAGTAAAATAATGCCTTTTTCAATACTTTTCAGTGTTTTCCTCCTTCTATTTTTTTTTTCTATCTTATCACTGCTAGTAATACTCCTCTCCTTTTTTCACCTATCATGATCTTTTAGTAGAAGTTAATATTTTTCTGCATCTTCAGGGTAGTAGATTACTGGTATTTGTCTTTCAGGTGAACAACATTCTCTTGGTTCTTTTTTTGTACCTTAAATGACTGAATATCTTTTTTTAATGAATGTTTATATTTTCTACATTGTATTAGAATGTGTGTTCATTTTGTCTTCACTCAAAGTGTGAGCACCTGAGAATGATTCCATGTTTGATATTTTGGTATTCTTCCTGGCATATATGCACATGTACATATATTACAGTATTCTGCGTATATTAGCAGCTCAATTAACACCCATTAAATGAAGGAACAAATGGTGGCTTTTATCTTTTGCAAGCAGTTTCCCCATATGTCTAATTCAGGCACCTTTGTGGAAAGTCTGTTCTTCGTCTGGTCTGACTACTCTGTTCTAGAAGGAAGATTCCAAATATTATTCCTTGATGAAACATAAGTTGTTGTTGTTAAATTAAACTTGGGACTTTGTAAAAACCAAAGAAGGGTACGCAAGCAATAATATGTAGTGTCCTAAACAATTAATTTAAACTTCTTTCTCCAGCCCTAACCTCCAACTTCACTTAGATTTTATGAATTTTCCATATAGTTTAATATTTGTCTGTGATTTTCTAGAAAGACTGAGCTAGGTGTATGATTTCTTTAGTCTTATGATCTCTCCTTTGATTTGAAAGTATCTTTGTTACCCATCAAAGTGGCTACAAGCTAGACTAGAAATGCAGCAAGCAAAATCAGCCTTAAAAACTAAAGAATGGATTGTCTTAGTCTGTTTTTGTTGCTATAAAGGAATAATTGAGGCTGGGTGATTTATAAAGAAAAGAGGTCCATTGGGCTCGCAGTTCTGCAGGCTACGTAAGCATGGCTCCAGCGTCTGCTTCTGGTGGGAGTTTCAGGCTGCTTCCACTTATGTTGGAAGGTGTAGGGGAGCCGGCATGTGCAGATCTCAGGGAGAGAAAGGAAGCAAGAGAGAGAAGGGAGATGCCAAGCTCTTTTTAATGACTAGCTTTCTCAGGAATTAACAGAGGGAGAACTCACTCACCCCCCACCAAGGGAGGGATTAATCTATTCATTAGGGATCTACCCTGTGACCCAAATACCTCCCATTAAGCCTCACCTCCAACACTGGGGATCAAATTTCAGCATGAATTTGGAGGGGGTCTGATAAACCAAGCTATAGCATGGATCAATCCAGAAAGTATGTAAAATCTGATTTTGTAACATTATAGTAGCAACCATGTATTCACAGGGGCTGAGTATTTTTGTTTCGTGGATGCACTGTTGTGATAGTCTAATTTGTATTGTCAAGGAATAAGACTCTCACAAGCACATAGTAATTTTGGGCAAGCCCTTCTCTAAGTTTCCTTCCTTTTAAGAGATGGCAAATTAACTTTATCTTGCTCTTTACACTGTTCTGTTCCAAGGTTCATGGAGATTTAGCACAAGCTTTAATTAATGTGCTCTTCAACTTACAATGGTGTTATGCTCTGATACACCCATTATAAGTTGAAAATATCATTTGTAAGTTGAAAATGCCTTTAGTACACTTAATCTACTGAGCATCATAGCATTTAATCTAAACATGCTTGGAACACTTTTCTATAGTTGGGAAAAATAATCTAATATAAAACCTACTTTATAATAAGATGTTGAATAGAATGTTTTCCCACCATCGTGAAGTCAATAAATCATAAATTAAACCATCATAAGTTGGAGGATCATCTGTATAGTTTAAATCAGGCCGAGATTCTGATGTTAACCTTAATACTTGTTTGCTTGGAAATATTATGGCAACTTTATCCAGAAAGAGAGACTATTCTGGGACAGATAGGAGGATTCCCTAATGATGGGATCAATCTTTTTGTAATGTCATTAATTCTTCATGCAGAAATTTTCTGCTCAAATTCTTTGTGTGTATCTAACATTAGCTTCTCAAATAAACTTACTCTAGTTCCCTGGGAATTACCTTCCTTTTTTCCATTAAGGCAGGACAAGTAGAGAAAGAATTATGGATTACCTTATTGGAAGTGCCCACATTTATGTGAAATTCATCTATATCGTTCTGTCTCTTTGTCTTTTTTTTAGTGGTAATTTAAACTGATTTTCAATTCTCTGTTGAACTATGTTTTATTTAGTTCTCTGTACAAAGTAGAATTTATGTACCTCTGTGTACTCTCCCTTCATGTTTATCCAATGGATAAGCATGACTTATTCTTGTGATTACAGAGTAATTTACATAAAGAACATTTAACTACTCACTGGGATCTTCCAATATTAGGAAAGATCATCTTCACTGGGTTTATTTGGAAGAGAAAAATTCTCTAAAATATATCTTATTCTTTATAGTAGATTCTGTTATTGATCAGCAAATATTCTCTCTCTACTCTTCTTGGTGTGGGAGGAGTGGAACATTAAAGTAAGGCTTGGACACATGACTTGGTCAATGAAACATGGCGGATGTTACAGGACACATGTTTCTACCAATCCTCTTGCACTCCTGCCTGCCACAAAGAAACAGCACCCCTTCGATAGTGTAATAACTGTTCTTTCATCCTGGGACTTTGAGTAGGAAAACATATGGGTCAGTTCTAAAACTGACTTATCACCTTATTACTTATTACCTTATATATTACCTATCCCTTATCCAGATATATGGATAGAATCCATATCTCTGACCTACACATCAGTGTGTGGGAAACCAATATTTGTGGTTACAAGCCTCTGAGATCTGGGGTTGTTTTTTATGAAGCATTTCCACAAGGGATGTTTGTACAGCGGGAATTCAGAATTGTTATGGATCAGCAGCTGCTACTGACTCCCATTTTCACCTTTCCCAATGGGGTTATTGTTGTCATTCTTGTGTTGTTTTACTTTTATACGATGTGTGTGTCTGTATATGTGTGTTTGTGTTTGTTCATTAGGGGATGTAAATAACATTTCTTTTTAGCTCATAGATGTCTGGAACAATAGGAACCACATCTGGATCTGCTATAGAAGTTAGTACAAGATCCTGGACCTCAAATCTGATTTCAGGTCTTACATGTAAGTCTTTAATCCATCTTAAGTTAATTTTTATATATGGTAAGAGATAGGGATCCAGTTTCATTCTTCTGCATGTGACTGTGTAATTTTCCCAGAACCATTTGTTGAATAGGGTATCCTTTACCTAGGGTATGCTTTTGTCTGCTTTGTCAAAGATTAGTTGCTTGTAGATGTGTGGTTTTATTTCTACAAACCAATCACTTATGACAACAAATAATAAACAGGTTTAAATACTAAGATCTTTAAGTAGGTTAGGCATGGTGGTTCAACCCTGTAATCCCAGAAGTTGGGGAGGCCAAGGTAGGAGGATCACTTGAGGCCAGGAGTTTAAGACTAGCCTGGGCAATATAGTGAGATGCCGTCTCTACAAAAAAATTAGAAAATTAGCTGGACATGGTGGCACGTGACCATAGTCCAGCTACTTGGGAAGCTGAATCAGAAGGATCACTTCACTTGAACCCAGGAATTAGAAGCTACAGTGAACTATGATCACTCACCACTATAATCCAGCCTGGGTGACAAAGCAAGACCCTATCTCAAAAAAAAAAAAAAAATCATTAAGTGATTTATGGAAAAAAGCAAAACATAAAAACCTAAATAGTGACACAGAAAGTATGAATCAAGACAATAGAACACATCAAACAAAAATAAATTGGTGTTAGCAATAATAGAATCCAAAGCACAGAACATTAAAATGAAGAGAGAGGGCAATTTTGTAAGTCTATTATACACAGTCTACAAATAATCATATACTGAATAGCATATAATCAAAATCCATAAACAAAAACATTAGAAATGAATGGAGCACTATGCTAATAATACCAATGATGATAAGAACTAATGTTTATTGACCATATTATGTGCCAAGCACAGTTCCAATTGCTGTGCCTCCATTATCTGTTAATCTAAAGCTGTTCTTATGAAGTAGGGAGTTATGATCTTTGTTTTATAAGTGGAGACACTAAACTTTAGAGACATTAACTAACTTGACCAAGGTTACACAGCTGGTAAGTATGGAACTAGGATTTGAAACAGACAGCTTGACTCTTCATTCATATGACTAACCTCAACAAAATGTAAGGGGGATAATTTAAAGGAAGAACTTGGCCTAACTTTCTATATGTAACATTTAAGTAAACAAAAATAATACCAAGGCAGAGGGATGGTATAAAATTATTTGATAAAGTTTGTTTATTTTTCATTTACAGAGAAAGAAATTATCTTGTCAAACATCCATGAAGCATTTACAGAATGGGTTCAACATTGAACAAAATATAAAATTCTGAGACACAGAAATTAAATAAACCATATTTACAGATGATAATAGAATTAAAACAATTTATAGGTTTTAATCATATGAACAAGTCAGCAAGTCTCCCTAAATCCAATCTCTTATTAAAAAAACTCACAAATCTTAAATAAGAGATGGAATCATAAGTAGAATTATATATAATTCAATGAAAATGAAAGAAATACATTGAAAAAAGAAATCTGTTATGTAGTCAAACAAGTACTTAGAGGCAAATTCATATCTTAAGAGTTTTCTTATTTAATAAGAACAAAAAATAATCATAATGTTAAGCTATTTCTTACAAGATAGAAATGAAACCAAATAATAAAGGAAATATAGAAAGAGCAGAGTTAATAAATTAGAAAACAATAAAAGTATAAGAATTGATGAATAATACAAATTGATTCTTTAAAAAATTAAAAAAATTTTTTTTTGAAACAGCGTTTCACTCTGTCACCCAGGCTGGAGTACAGTGGCCCTGCCATAGCTCACTGCAGCCTTGAGCTCCTGGGTTCAAGGGATCCTCCTGAGTAGCTGGAACTACAGGTATGTACCACTGCACTGCGTCTGAGTCTTTAAAATTATAAAACTTTGTATAACTTTTTGAAGGGTAATTAAAATGAGCAGAAAAATTAGAATTAAGGATGCTAAATGAGATAGGAAAAGTAGAATATAACCCTCTCTTAAACATTTCAAAGAAATAGTTTCTTTCTGGAAAGATATAAATGATCACAATTGCTACAAAATGGATAGAAACAAATATATCAATAGTCATAAAATGAATTGATATACTTGCCAAAAGTTTGCTTCTCAAATAGACTCCCAGTCTGGAAAGTTTTACAGTCTTGCAAATTCTCAGGAAACAGGGAACTTTCATGTTATACAACCTGAGAATAAATGTCAAAAAGTTGAAAGACTCCCTAATAATATAAATCCTGACAACGACAGTAAAAAAGCAATCAACAAACAATCAAAAAGACCCAGCAGTTAAGAATATATATATATATACATATATATATACACATATATATATTTTTTGTAAATATACATTTGTATCCTTAAATGTGTGTGTGTGTGTGTGTGTGTGTGCGTTTGCTATCTTTGTCAGGGTTTACTATTATTGAGAAGTTTTTCAACTTTTTGATACTCTCATATAGCTTATATATCATGAAAGTTATCTTTGTGTACATATATACATATATATGCAAAAATTCCAGAATCCATTAGCAAGTTAAAGTATGATGGAAGTGAATTAATCCTGCCTTGGTGGCTCTGGAATGCCCGCCCTTTGGTGCCCTCTAGGTTAGCAAGGTGCCCTAGTAGGTTAGCAAGATGGCAGCTCAGAAAGGATGAGTTGGTCAGGGGCCAAACACAGGACCTCTAGCTAATAAAGGCCAAGCTCTAAAGGCTCCCCTTCCCTAACAAAGCCCCTTTCCTTCCCCTTCTGGGTCCCTTTGTGACATAGTCCATTGAGTACTCCCTGTCCCTTATACACGCCCTTATCAATATACAAAGGAGCCAGTGGTGGAGACCCTGTCTATTGTGTCCAGTTCTCACGTCTAAGTGTGCCTCTCAGCAGAAGGACTGGCCTGTGGTCTGCTCTTTGTCTGCTTCTAAGTATCGACTCATCTCTTGCACTGTCAGTCCATGGTCCAGTAGGCAGCAGATAAATGAATAAACTGTTTACTATACCCAAGGTAAGTTTATCATACGAATGCCAAGATACTTTATTTTTAGAAAGTATATTTTCAAAAGTTACTTTGATAAGTTGAAGGAGGACAATAATGTCAAGAGATGTTATTATAAAATGGTATTTGATCAAATCCAAAGCCTATTGCTGAAGATACATATGTTAGTAGAATAATAAAGTGGTGTAAATACCGAAGAAAGTTTTGAAATAGAGAAGTAATATCAAATATGGAGCACCTTATAAAACTGTAATGATTAAAATGATATCATACGGGAACAAAAATCAACAGATAGATCCATGAAATAGAACAAAGGGTCTAGAAATAGTTTATATATATATATACACATTTATTGTCTGATAAAGAAGTCACCTGAAATCACTGGGTATTAAGGAAATAAATGCTGTTGGGATAATTAATTAACCATATAGAAAACATTTAAAGCCTCATTATGTTAGGAAAAAATTTCTACTTAGATTAAGGTGGTAAATGTAGAAATGAAAGTATAGAATGTATAAAAGCAAAACAAAGACAATTATTTATGTTATTTTAGAATAAAGATTTTCTTCTGACATCAGTGTTTGACTACCACCATCTGAAACTCAGATATTGGAGGTTTATAAATATATTAATGTAGTAGATTTGGCTGAACATTTATATAGCTTTATTTTTCTCTTTTTAAGCAGAACACTTTAATACAAATTTTAAACATAAGTTTATTTTATTATTTGACTCTTTGAAAGGATAAATAAGAAAGGCAATTGTGGATCTATTTAGATTCTGGGAGGAAATGTGTGGTCATGAAATAAATATCAGCTTTGGATTAAATATTCCCTTATTCTAATCCTGTCATGTGTAATCTTTAAATATCCATGTGATATTTAAGAAGTAACAATCTCTTAGAGCATAGTTTGCCTCATCTATAAAGTGGCTCTTTAACTTGCTGGGAAGAATTGCTGAGAAAACATAAAACAATATATGTAAATTGCATAACTCAGTGTTTGGCACATATTATATGGTCAGTAAAAGTAGGAGTATTTGTTTGTAGTATTGGTTCTTGTTGAGGTTTCAATGATTCCCTACTTCCAAACTATACACAGGGTAAAGTTCATGTCTTTAAAATGCTTTGGAAGAAATCTCAACAACCCGTTCAAGTGCTGAGCATTCAGTAAATGTGATGTTTAGGACGTAGACCATGGTATTGAATTCCTTTTCAGAATTGTTAACTATGTCTATTATGCAAGTGGTTATGGGAAAATTATAATGACGAGTTTTCCAAAAGGAAGAGGAGTGTATTCAAAGATCATTCATTATTAGCAGTTCACCACAGTGATAGGTGTGGTCAAACCTGCTGTACATAAATCTCTTTTAGATCCAATGTCTTTTTTGAAAATTTTTTTTTAATTTCAGCATATTACGGGGTACAAATGTTTAGCTTATGTATATTGCCCTTGCCTCACCCAAGTCAGAGCTTCAAGCATGACCATCCCCCAGACAGTGCACACCACACCCATTAAGTGTGAATATACTCATCCCCACCTCCCCCCTCCCATCTGCCCAACAACCAATGAATGTTATTACTATATATGCACTTAAGTGTTGATCAGTTAATATCAATTTGATGGTGAGTACATGTGGTGCTTGTTTTTCCATTCTTGGTATACTTAGTAGAATGGGCTCCAGCTCTATCCAGGATAATACAAGAGGTGCTAGATCACCACTGTTTTTTCGTGGCTGAGTAACTCCATGGTATACATATACCACACTTTATTAATCCACTCATGTACTGTTGGGTGCTTGGGTTGTTTCCATATCTTTGCAATTGTGAATTGTGCTGCTTTAACCCAATGTCTTGGTAAAAGAATAAAGCAGGGTAAGCATGTAATAGTGGCACATCGAGAAAGTCCTTATTCGCGATATAGAGTATATCCCTGGGTGCTGATTGGGGCAATTAGAGATCTCAAGGGCAGGCTGAACGGTATAATGGCAGCAAACCCATAGCTCCAGGCTTCCCACCTGGAGTAACTAGGAAGGTCAGGTATGCCTTGGGAGGAGAAAAGGGAGGGGATATTGGTTGGGCACCTGTATTCACTCACCTGAATCTTTGATCTTGGGTATATCCTTTGTCCCCTTGTTGGTTGGTTTTTGTATTAAAACAAAAACTATCCTAGAGTCTGTCTACTCTTAAAATCTGGACCAGCCCATAGGATTTGGTATAACCACATACTTACCTATTACAAAAAAATATTATAAAAGTGTGAATAATTTCTACCAAAAAACTACTAATCAGAAAATAAAATGCTAGTCAGTGTCATTAGCTCTCAAGATAATAAATTATTTTAATAATTCCCTATGTGTAATTTCATGATATTTCTAAAATATTTTAGCTGCAAGGTTATCACAGTATTTTCAGGAACACGTAAGGAAGTCTGAGGAAGGAGGGGGCCATTTTTCCAAACTTCTTCTTATTTCTCAGAATATAAAAATATTCCGAAATAAAGAAGAATGGTTCTTGAAATCTGAGGTTGAGAGTATATTTTATTACATAAAGCAAAGGGAGTAGGCAGGAAAAGCTTTCAGAGTGCTGGTCCGAGGGTCCTTTCTCAAACCATTCCACTCCCCCCACCAAGACCTGGCGTCTGTGTGTTCATGTTGGGCACTTGGCAGCCGAGAATGATCTAGAAGGCAATCAACGAAAGTGGCTATTAAAAGCTTCCAGGCTTACAGGAGGGAGAAAAATGACTTTTGCTAAAAGCTAGATCTCTAAATATCCTTGAAGCTATTTTCCCTCTTGGCCTATATGTGTGGCCTTGTGCTCACATATTCACACTTTTCCTCTGATTTTTTTTTTTTTTTTGGTCATAATCTTTACACACATTTAAATTTAACACTTGCTGAGCACTACTTAAATGACCGAGTTAAACAAGAAATCACTTAAGCGACTTTGGCGTCTTGCCATTCCTTGGGATTTCATCAGTGGGGGGGGCGGCTAGAACTGGTAGGACAAAAGCCAACCCCTAATTGTTTTATTTAATTAGACCATTTAAATGGCTAAGCGAGCCTGGAGGCCCCGTTTCTCTGTTTCCTTTCACCTTGCTCGGGTGCCTTTGGAGATATTTCCTGAGGGCTAAGAGAATGGGTGTTCTTGATAAATAATACTTCTCCCTGCCACCTAAAAGACAAGAAAGGAAAGTGCTCAGCTGCAAATTTATCATAAACTTGAAGTGACAATGGAAAAACAGCATTTTTTTTTTTTGTGGCAAATTAAAATTACCCATGGAGTGACTTTAAAAGATCGAATCTTCTGGACGTCCCTGGGTGATAACGGCTGCACATGTTCAGGGACCGGAGCGTTTCTCTGCCTCTCCTGTCAGGGATTGTGTGAGAGAGGTGACGTGAGCCAGTGGCTTCTCTGAGCACCAGCAGAGGCACAAATGAATGCTCGGAACGCTTGCAACTTGGCTTCACCAAATGTGATGAGTTCTTTTTATCACCCATTCTAAAATAGCTCCTCAATATTCAGCCAAATGTAACTTAATTGCCTTTAAATATTGGAAATGAAACAAAGGGCGAATGAGGCCAAATCCTTAGGCAGGCTGATAATGGGATCAGGGAGTTCAAGATCCCTGATTAACTCTACTGGCTTCCTTGTGATTTGGATGACCAGGTCACGAAAGGTTAGGCGGTTATTTTAGCGAGTTTTCTCTGCAAATCTGCTCCATCGTTTCCATAAAAACTAAGGTCTGCCCTTCTAATCTGAGTGAGCAAACTAGGAAAGGGGCCCTGGACCCTA